TGTTATTCTAAATTAAAGTTACAATAAATATACCAAAATGCTTTTTAATTTTATGGCCTTAAACATAGTGAAAAATCGAAGTTAAAATATTGCTAAAAAAAGGGATAATTCTTTTTGAAATAGACTAAAGAAGAAATTATGTCATTTTATTTTTCAAAGAATGGAATAATATGATCTAGTTAAGTATTATGAGAAAGGGGAATCTATGGCCACCTACGTGCCTACGTCAGCTGTCAATTTGAATCGTCACGTGTTTTTTGTTAGGATTTTACTTCAATTGCAATTTCATCAGCAAATTTTGTTACAATAAAATTAATCAAAGTTATACTGATCTTAGACAAATGTATTTGGTAGAAATATTTATGTATGATCTTATGGTGATTTTGTTTACTTATTTTTTTTTATTTAATAAGCAATTAAAAATACATCTTAAAAATATCTATATATGATTTACGCAAACAACAACAAGAGTGGAGGTTTGGGTAGGGGTAGCGGTGGAGAGGAGGGGTGGTGGGTAGTGGATGGGTGTTTTGGAGGGTTAAAGCTTAGAAGAAAACAATTAATTCTGAATGTTACTTACAAAATTTATTTTCTCTATGTTATTTAGAAAATATATTAAATTGGTTAATCGTAATGGACAAATATTTTGAACTAGAAGAGATTTCGAATCTGAAGTGGATACGTTTCATTATCACAAAACAAGAGAACAAATTTATGATGAGCATATGCACGATAGAAGAGGGAACTGAAGAAGAAACGCTACACAAAGAGCAAGAAGTCATTTTCCTAAACTTGAAATCTGTATTTTCCATACCATATAAATTAGTTAATCAACTTTATAAATGAAAATCTAATTTAGGACCGAAAATATAAATACTTTCCTCCATATCAAACACACACCCTTAGACTGATCTATTTATGTGATTAAAGCCTCTGAAGTGAACAAGAGCAATTGATATTTGAAAACTGCTATATATTATTTTACTTTTAGCAGGATTTCAGTCTTTCAGTAAACACTAAGGGATGGTTTGGTTGGGAACAAGTTATCTTAGGATTAGTTATTCTATGGTTAGCTATCCTATGATAACTTATTTCATCACCATGGTATAAATGGTGGGATTAGAAGATAAGTTATCCCAAACATGACAACCAAACAAGATACGAAAAATTATCCCATCACTATTTATTTTTATCACTCACACCAAACGACCCATAACATCTTTGCTAGCTACTTAAATCCGGTTTGGATAGATTTTGGCTTATAAGTTATTATTTTTAAATAACATAAATTAGAACTTTTAATTTATTTTTGTCTTTTAAACTTAAAAAAAAAAAATCCAAAAATATTTTTTTTAAATAAAAATTTATGAAATATAGCAAAGATAATAAACATAATAAGACTTTATAGTTATAGTTTTGGTAATTGCGCTCCATAGCTATAGTTCTGTTTGTTATGGAGACTGTCGTTTATATATTTCACTTGCCTGTTTGTATATTTCGCTTGCAAATATACAAACAAATTAAGTATATACAAATGGAGGTTGTGGTTTGTAATTTCGCTTGCTCGCTTGTATATTTTACTTGTGAATATACAAACATCATAAGTATATACAAATTTTGTATTTATACAGAACTCTGTTTGTATATTAGCTTTGTATATTACACTTGCTAATATACAAATAGGATAATTTATTTATGATTTTTTCATGAATTATATACAAATAGTTACAATAAGGATATATAAATTCTAAATTGATACAATCAGTAATTGAATTATACAAGTTCTAAATTTATATAATTAGAAGACCGAATAGCAAAATTTCACAAAACTATGTCCACAAATTAAAAATAATCAATATTATAACTATATTTAATAATATGCTCTAGATGTTTGAGCATAATTTTCTCAATTCTTAATTCAACGGGGCCAACCAAAGGGACAGTACAATGTGGCTTTTATAGAAAAGAAGACATAGACGCAGTAATCAGTATACTGTTTCATGTCAATTTTTGACAAGTATTTGACTAGGCTGCTACCATGTCTTTTTTCTTTTTCTTTTTTGTCTCGTACGATATTTCGAATATACTATATTTATTAATGTTGACCTGTAATTGTCATTATTATGACAAAATATCGTTAAAAATAAAATAAAAGTGATAAAATCTAAAAAAAAGTAATAAGTAATACTAAGAATGTAAACGATTTAAAAAGCAAAAGCATAGTATGTATATATTTATATAACGGACAATTATGTAGCAAAATCGAAAATGGCTACTTCTCAAGCAATTTGATGCCAACTTGTTTTGATATATAATCTAGACTTGATAACGAGATATACAACAAAGGCGACGTATTAGGTGTTTATGGTTTAATTTAGATCGATTGTTACTTCTAAAATGTTTGTATCAATTAATCATAATAGGTTATATATGATGTGCATGTTTACTTATATATTAGAGAAAAGGGTTAAAAATATTCCTCAACTTTGATTGATTAGTTAACTATGCTCTTACCGTTAAAATAAAGTTATTTTTACCCTCGATGTCTACAAACTTAACACATATACCCCTGATTTGGACGGAATCTCCCAAATTGCCCAATTTCAATCAATTATCTGTTTAGAATGAATTTTCAATAACCCGACCCATAACCCATTTAATTAAAATCCAATTCAAATCAAATGGGCCGTATCCCGGCCACTGTTTTTCGCCCGTAACAAAGGTGCTCTCTAGGATTTCAATTCACGTTCGTTGCAGCAGTAATGGATGGATGCAACGGTCAGAAAGCCAAGATGGCTCGTGAGAAGAACATCGAGAAGATGAAAGGCGCAAAAGGAGGCCAACTTGACGCGAACAAGAAGGCCATGAATATCCAGTGCAAGGTGTGTATGCAGACATTTATGTGCACAACGTCAGAGGTGAAGTGCAAGGAACGATCTATTTCCTTTAAGAATAAGAAAATCCAAATATCATTTTTATTTTTCCCAAGCTAACCAAATAATATTTTCGATTAAGCTCAAGTTTTTTTTTTTTTTGAAATGGTGGAACATCTGGTTCTTCAAACTTCAGCTCCAATTGAAGAAGAAGAAAAAGCCTCAACTCCAATTCAATGACTATCCATGAAATTAGTTGTAAAGTTGCAGATCTTTTCAAAGTTCAATCCAATCCAATGTTTTTTTTTTATTTAAATCGTGGAGGTTTAATTTAGTGTGAGTTGGAGTATTTGCTATAATGGGTCGGATTGGATTTGAAGAAGAGACTGATGGGTAGAATTCAGTTTAATTTTGATTAATTTGGGGATTTCCTTCCATAGAGGGGTACAAATGATAAATTTATTAACGACAAGGGTAAAAATAGTTCTATTTTAATGGTAAGGGCATATTCAACTAATAAACCAAAGTTGAGAGGTATTTTTGACTTTTTCCCTATATATTATTATTACTTACTAGATGCTACAGTTAAATATTTGTTTTCTGCATATTTTGTTAATTTAGGCTCAAAAGAATAAAAGGTAGTATATTATAAAAGAATTTCAAATATTTATATATGTGTGTGTAAATTGTAAAATTATAAAAATAAATAAATAAATAGTATTTGTGTAGTTGGTTTAATTGAATCAAATAAAACTTCATCGCAGATTTTAATATAAAAAATCAAACCAAAAAAGTATTGAGTTTTTTCCAGCTTGATTTAATTTTCATTTTGATTTGATTTATGGATCCCTTGATTTATCAATTTTCTGTGAACATCCCTAGATATAAATTATATAATAAACTCCTGAGGAATGATTGTTCCAGATTAGTAACCATTGAACTCAAAAAATGAGATTTATACATTTAAATTACATTAAATTACAAAAACATGAATCAAAATGTGTCTTGAAATTAAATATATTGTGACGGTGTGATAAGTACCCATTTACGGCTTTACCTCCAATGTGAAATTTTCAATCATATATTTGAATTTAATCGTACTCTAATACAGATATCAAACACTATTCCGATCGTACTCAAAGTTTTCATGGAATAAGGATTTACATCAATCAACTATAGTATAATGTATAGGGATAAAGCAACACTCGTCTTTGTAATGTCTCAAATCTCCAAACTTTTCTCAACTCATCGATCTCCAATCTGTAATGACTGATTCAACTCACCTCACTTTCTTATATTCTTGAATGTCTCAACAAAATAGAGATATTCATGATGTATCAACTCAATTTTTCAATGATTTTGAATCGAAATTGAAAAGATTTTTGAAATTTTGGAGAAGAAATTTAAAATTTGAATTTTTTTGATGTTGTTATGCTTTGGGAGAGTAATAGTACAACCAATGGTGCCGATCACCCCTAAAATGGTTCGAACACCCGGGAAAAAAAAAGATACCATTTGGTACAACCTTCACATATATTGTTTGTTTTAAGCCATGTAACCTATATACAAAATAAATGTAGGGACTCTAATTATTGGACAAATTTCCTCAAAATTTAGTTAATATCTCTCTAATATGGAACCCCACTGGGACATTGGACACACAGTTGGTCGATTGGATATATATATATATAATATACTCCCCTCTGTTCCTTGCAGTAATGATTCCTTTAACATTAGAATCTTTATAACAAAGATGTTGTCCATAAATCAAATTTATAATAATTTTGTTGATTAGTTCAATTAACTCTATCGGCCTATCTAGCTTAACTTTTAATAAACCCAAAATTTTGCTCAAATTCCAGAAAAATTATGAGTCATTGATTTTGCTAAATGTTTCAGGTAATATTTCAACCTATTATACAAGGCAACTTTAGAAGCTAACTGAGATTAAGAAAAAAATATTTCAAGAAATTCAATATCTATACCATTCAGACACCCTTCTGCTTTCTCTACAACAACAATAACATACCCAGTTGAATCCCACAAGTGAAGTTTGAAAAAGATGGAGTGAACGTAAGCTTACCCCTACTTTATAGGGGTAGAGAGGATGTTTTCGATAGACCCTCGTATCAAGTAAAGCATATCAAACAAGTAGGAAAAGAAAATACAGTAAAGAATATTAGTATCAAGAACGATCCATATCCTCGTATAAGACTCATTTCCTCGGTAAGCTTGTCATTTTTTGTCTAATCACCTCTCCCCTCCCCTCCCCTCTGCTCTCCTAATGCCAAAACACCAAAAAATAGAGGGGTAAAAAGAAGCACTCCATCTAATGAGACCTCATCAGTTTCTGTCTCTGCAAGCTCCCATTGCCAAGCACATAAGCAATTGGAGGGAGTGCTCAAGTGAGTTTCGGATACCGATGATTAAATGGGGAGAAAAAAACAAACTGGAACAAAGTTATTATACAACAACACATAGCATAGATATCTTCCAACATAAGCAGACAACAAGTTTTCACTATGCCTGCGAGAATGGAACCTTTTGTCAATGAGCCTTAATGAATCAAGAGCGATAACATTGATCTACCTCTTGAATTTCAAATTCTCATACCTAAGATGAATGTCCATTAGAAAAAAAGTTGAACTTCCTATAGAGGAAAGGCCCAAAAGAGTCTCTTTATCTTTGAGGTTAGACCAAAAATGATCCCTTATATTTATTATATGGAGCAGTAATAGTGTCTTAAGTTTACAATAAGAGAGCACATTTAATACTCCCAAACAGAAACTGTGATCTTATCAAAATGGGTTGGGACGCCGAGTTGGCAGCCACATGACGCCCACTTTATAAAAATGTCAGTGCCACGTGGGATTGAGTATCCATCATGGACAGGCCTAACGGAGGCTGGGCATATTTGAACCATTTAGGTAACGACGGGAATATTTTAATACGAATAGTATAATGGAGGGTAAAAACGATCCTTTTTGCATTTTAGGGGAGCAAATTTGACCATTTTCCGATGTTTTGATAAAATACATTTTTTTCTAAAAGAACACTTGAGTGATCAAGATATACAGAGCTCTTATATTGTTCTATCATCCATGAGAAAACAATGATGTGTCTATGTCGTTCTTTCATTTTACTTGCTATTTGTTTACCTTATTTGTTCCTCCTATAATGCTTTTCTAGTCTTCACTCTCTTTTAGGAAGATCATATATTCATTTTTGGAGTTCTATCTATTGTATTAGTACAACATAAAATTAAAATTTAACTGTGCATGTTAATGTAAAACTGTATAAGACAATAAAGATTTTCTTCATTCTATCACTAAGATGAGTTTACGTTTTTCGTAAGCTTTGGTTTTTGTTTTTCCTTTCCAGTTTCAAGTTGTCAAGATCTGTGTGCATGTAAGGTTTTAAAGTAAGAGTTCATGTTGTGGCATGGTGCGGGACAAGATTCACGATGCTTTTATATATGAGAAAAAGGGTCAGTGGATCATGATTAGGGTCAAGTTATCACAGTAAGTAGTGTAATTGAGGAGTTATTTGGTCTTCTTCGATACTTAACCAATTCTGTTGTTCAAAGATCACGATTTCTGTTTGGGAGTACTACTAAATGAGCTCCATTATTGTGAACTTTAAGGGACTATAGTGCTCCATATAATATATATGAGATGATTTTGGGAATAACCTCAAAGATAAGGGACCATTTTGAGCTTTTCCACTCCTATAGAAATTAAGATGGGGTAGAAGGCCTTTAGCTACACAGAGATATTAAACAAAGAACTATCTAGTTTGATAGTTTACCTCTTTATATGGTCCATTGACATCTGATGGTCATAATCCCTAAAATCAAGGTTTGAACTACTGTCCCCATGATCATACCGTACCATAAGCCCTGCAAATTTATTTGATTAATGTCATCTTGATTCTCCAATATACATTTGAGTATAGTAGATTGTAGTCGTTTTCACCACAGTTAATATTATAAAGGGAGATAAACTCAAAAATATCATGTTGTACTATTATCACATACCGTTAATCCAAAGTTTAGTGACCATCCAAAAAAGATACCAAGGGGCACTCCTACTAAATAGTAGCTGCCTAAGTTGACATATGCCACAAGTGCCTGCCAACCGGATCCAACTGCTACGCCTGAAAACATTATAACCGATGAGTATTTAACTACTATGATACATGGCTTTTCATATGAATGTCCGTATTAAGTGGTTTAAGATGGATTTAACTTAAATACTTTAGACACTGACCATGTCAAGTAAAGTTATGTTATAAGAGTATATAACCTGGTTTATCAGATAACTAATTTTTAGGTTACTAATTCCTCTCTTTATCTTTTAGTATGCGATCAGAGGCGAATCTAAAATTTAACTTTTATGGGTTCAAATTTTAATGTGCTTAAGACCTACTAGTTGTTGCTATTTTAATCAATTTATACACATAAAAATATACTTTGTGTCAAAAGTACTTGGTTCAAATGAACGCGGTGCCATAAAGCTAAATACGCCTCTGGACGTGATAGTTGAAAGCAATATATAAAAATTGAACTCCTAAAATTTCTCACCTGAAAGAACTGGTTGAACACAATTACAGAGGATTGTGGTTGCTAACAAGAAAGCAAATCCACCCACCATTTTAATGACAGGAATGCTTGAGGTGAAAATCATAGAAAGCTTATCAGGAAAGACCATAACAATTGACCAAAACAAAATTCCCAATGCTAAAGTGTTCAACAATGCAACTTTCGTGGCAAACTTTGCACGGTTTCCGTTTCCAGCTCCAAGCTCATTTGCAACTCGTACCCTGTGTTTATAAAAATGGTTATTGGATGAAATGTTCCTACAGCACTATAGCCAGTAAAATTTCAATGGTATAAAACAAGAAATAAGATATGCTCTTTTATGTCATTAATACGTTTTCATGTACCAGAAGAGAAAAGATAAATACACATAAGCTACATGTTTCCGTCTCTTATTATTGGCAAGCCAAAAGGAAACATCCATAAGACAATAGAAACGGACTCAAAATTATTTGACGAACATACCCTGTTGCTGCCAAAAATCCTAGTGGAATCATGGATTCCCATCCAATGATAGTAATACTGGGGAAGAAACAACATCAGTTACTTGCAAAATCAAGCAGATGAAAACATTTACAAAAGCTGAGTATACGATAAAAATATCGAACCAGATAGAGAGCGCATCGACTGCAACCTCAGTATTGTTCATGTGCCCAGACACAATAACTAGCACTCTAAAATAAATATTCTCCAACCTGAAACATCAACTTCTACGCCTTAAAAGAATATTAATCTATATATCAATGTGACTATGTTCTTGATAACAGAGACAAATGAGGAAAAAGGAACCATACAGTAGCATCACCCCAGAAGCGACAGCGAGCTTGAGAAAATCCCAAAGGCCAACAAACGCTTGCATAGAGAAACCAGTCCAAGAATGAGGGCACCCACCGAAAACAATGTAACCAAGAAGCCCCAACACAGAAATCCACCAAGAGATATCAAGAATAAGGGCAGTCCCAACAATTCCAAATCCCAATTTATAAAGAAAAATCCAACACAAAACCACATGAAGAGCAAGTGTCCCAGCAGAAACCCAAGCAATTACCACTGTTTTTAGCTGGCACTGCAGGAACCTTAACAACGTAAATTGGAAAGGAAAGCTCAAGTGCATAGGTATCAGCCAAATTGCAACCTTTCCAGTCAATTTAGCCACTGCTTCTGGCTGCCCCAGAAACTCCAATATAGGCTCGGCAAACACAAAAAGAGGCAACAGTACTAGAGAGCTAAGGAACAATACGACCAAAGAACGCTGCAAGTATACACCCAGCAAAGTGTATTGCTTTGCCCCATAAGCCTGTCCACACAATGTCTCCAATGCACTTGCCATTCCCAGCTGACCAATCAGCAACACTAGTTACACTACCACAACAAAATTTTAACCAAAAATCCACATAAAGTAGATGATAGTTTCCTCTATATTAGACTTATGGATCTTAATCAAACTTCTTACCTCATTACTTATTTCTTATTGCAAAATCCAATCATTTGGTGACTTTCTATTTTCGAGTTTAAGTTATATACATGATCAAGGTAGAAAATGTACAATCTGACTATTTGTAACACTATGAGCACAAATGGGTTCGGCATAACTAAGTAGCTATAGCACAAATCATGTATTTATGTTTAAAATCCACATTTATCAATAACATGGTAACTTTCTTTTCTATGATGTAGAACACATAAACTCAATATCCCAGCTTCGCCTCTGACTATGAGTGCATAAAACTTATAAATCTTTCAAAAAGTAAGACATACCAAGAATCCGAAGGTAATGGAGATGAAGAATGTGGTGGCAATGGAAATGGCGGCGAGGTCACGGTTACCCAAGTGTCCGGCGAAGGATTGACTGATAACAGTGAGAGAAAACATGGTCAATCGATTGAAAATAGAGGGTCCTGCTATTTCCCATATCATCTTTGATTCTTGGCATGCTCTTTTCACCAAATTTTCTGCTTTTGATTCTTCCTTTTCCTCCGAGTCTGTGTCTTGTGTGTGTAAAAGGGGCTCATTGGGTGTGTTTGAATTCGTTCTTCTATTCAGTGACAACATCACTGCGAATCTCGATATTGTCGGACTGAAGATACTGTACATCGGCCGGCCGGCCGGCCGTTGACAAAGACAAAAACTGACCGGGAAATATTGATTACTAGCTGGATTGGGAAAATAATTAACTTATTTTTTAAAAAAGAATTTTATATTTATAAAAAGATCAAATTTATATTTGATGTCTTTTTGAGTATGCAATAAATTAATACTATTTTAATATTATTTTATCAACTTATCAAATTCAATGCAATATTATTTTTATATTATTTTTTATTTTATCAACTTATCAAATTGAAGGCAATACTATTTTATATTATTTTTTTGATTTTCAATCCAATATTTGGTATTCATCTTGGAGTTCGACTAAATATAGATTTGTGCAAGGAAGATTGGGGTAGAACACTTCCTAACAAAGACGACTTTGTATCAAGGGACTCGAACCTGAAACTTTTGATTAAGGAAGAAGAAGTACTTGTCTTTCCATCACAACTCTTATTGGACATTATCTCGATATTATTATATAATATTTTGTTAAATTTTATTATTTTAACTTTATATCATAATTTTTCACTAAAATTTACATTACTTGTGATTAAAAAAAAAAAGACCTTTTTATACCATTTGATTTTATGCCCTCAAACTTATTGAGACAATCGGAAACGAGATCCAATAATGGTTTTCTTCACTTCCGACGTAACAGGTTTAAAGCAAACGACCTATCAGATACGCCATGTGACATTCATTTATTATATTCTTTTGGCTGCATTGTAGGATTAATTATGTACTTTTTTTAAATTTTAATTATGAAATGACACTTGAGTCTTATTCCAAAGTTTTCTAAGTAGGCGTTTGGCCATGCGATATCATATCACGATATGATATTGTGAGATGGAATCAACATTTAGGGCCCATTTGGTTATGCGATATGATATCATGAAATGGAATCATGATATGGTATCATGATATGGAATCATGAGATGAAATTGAAGGTTTGTTTGGACATGCGATATGAAATTTTTGTGTTGTATATTTTCTCATAAACATAAAAATCCCATAAGTTGTAAAACTATTAAAATAGCCCCAATTGTTTATTCAATCTTATCAAATAAACAAAAATTATAAAATCGCATAATAAATTATTACAAAGTTATTTGTTCTTTACTTAAATAATTGTTTCATCTAACTTTAATTTAATTTAAAAAATTGAACATAAATTGTACTTGATATGCCCATATCTCTCAACTACTCTTACAAATAACCTATAAAGTAGAAAAAAAACATACATTAGTGAGTAAATATTAACTTAGAAGTTAAATGCACTAAGATAAAAATTAACAAACATCACTAACTTCTAACTATTTACAAGAAAAATCAATAGTTAAATATTATTGAATAACGAAATTTTAAAAAGTTACCACAAGTTTGAGTCAAAAACACTTCTAATAAAATTTAATCAAAAAAATTATAACTAGTCCACTTGACTAAATATTAATAACTAATTGATCAAATTTTTCCAAGTCCTCAATCAATTGGACTTGATATCCTTCAGTCATGAGAACGAACATTTTGCAAATACTAAGGTTAAGAAAGTGCGGCACCGCCAATGAAAATTGTCTTTTATCAATATTATGCTTAGTCATAAGATTAAGACGGTTTTTTTTATTATGAAAAATCAAAAAAGTATTACTCCCTTCGTTCTCATTTATATTCACCAAATGAATTTCTACTTTATCATTTATATTCACCAAATTTAAAGTAATAATAAATTTTATATTGGTGAGAATAATAAATTTTAAAAAGTAATGATGTGATTATAAATTTTATTTACATATGAAACAAATGGTTAGTAGATATAAATGTGGGGTTGTTTTAACAAAATATAAACTCATGGATCAATTATTGTATTAAAATATCTCAAATCATGATATGGAATCACATGGTGATTCCATATCATGGTTTTTGGAGAATATGGTATCACCTCTCATGATATGGAATCATGAGATGGAATCAGCATAAAATCGCATGTCCAAACGTTGATTCCATCTCACGACACCATATTGTGATATGGTATCGCATGGCCAAACGCCTACTTAGATATGCGATTTTACGTTGATTCCATCTTATGATTCCATATCATGAGATGTGATTTCATATTTTCTAAAAACCATGATATGAAATTATATGGGAATTCCATATCATGATTTGAGATATTTTAATACAAATATTGATTCACGGGTTTATACTTTGTTAAAACAACCCCACATTTATATATACTAACAATTTATTTCATATGTAAATAAAACTTATAATCACATCATTACTTTTTAAAATTTACTATTCTCACCGACATAAAATTTATTATTTTTACCAACATTTAGTCATTTTAACTCACACCAACCGCTTGTTGAGTAATAAATTTATTTTATGGCCTTAATAAATGCACATTTATATTTTATGTGTAAGTTATTAGTATTTAGTTACATATTTCCTATCAATTTTGTTTAAAGAGATAATATTTATTTTATGACTTTGCATTGTCTTGGAAGCACTATTTTTATTACTCTTACACACATTATTTTTATGAAGTGCATTCTATAATGCTTCCAATTTATTTTATGTTCACTAAACTAATATTGATGTATTTTTTATTTGATAGGATTGTGTTGGTGCGATTGATGGAACATATATAGAAGGGGAGGTTCATAAACCGGTGCAACAAGCATATCGTAATCGCAAAGGAAGAACATCACAAAATGTCTTATGTGCTTGTGATTTTGATATGTGATTTACCTTTGTTGTTGTTGGTTGGGAAGGTACTGCACATGATAATAAAGTACTTGAGAATGTACTTGTTGAACCAACTCACAATTTTCATTTTCGCCATATGGTAACTTTAAATTACATCCTTAGAATAAATATTATTTATTTACACAAAGCTTTTAGTAATTCTTAATAAAATGTTTGTTGGTAGATAAATATTATGTTGTTGATGCTGGTTTCCGAAACACAAAAGGATTTTTAGCTCCATACAAAGGACCTATCATTTGCAAGATTACCGAGGAAGTGAAAGAGAGCCTCAAAATCCCAAAGAATTGTTTAATTATAGGCATTCATCTCTGCGCAATGTGATTGAACGGATTTTTGAAGCTTGGAAAAATAGATTTAGAATACTGAAACAAGGCATGAACCATTATGATATTGATACACAAGTGAAAATTGCCATAGGTTGTGCAGTGTTACATAATTATTTGCGAGAATATCAAAGTATTGATGAAATATTTATGGTCAATGAGCATGAAAATATAGTTGCGGATGATATTGACCAACAAATGGCTCAAAGTAACAATGTTGATTCGTCTTCTCGGTCACATGATCGAGAAATGCAAGTTCAACGTGAGGAAATTGACCGTATTATGTGGGAGGATTATATTAAAGACTAGTACATTACAATTTATGTTCAATTTTTTTAATTAAATTAAAGTTGGATGAAACAATTACTTAAGTGGAGAACAAATAGCTTTGTAATAATTTATTATGCGATTTTATAAATTTTGTTTATTTGATAAGATTGAATAAACAATTGGGACTATTTTAATAGTTTTACAACTTATGAGATTTTTATGTTTATGAGAAAATATACAACACAAAAATTCAATATCGCATGTCCAAACAAAACCTCAATTTCATCTCATGATTCCATATTATGACATCATATCATGATTCCATATCATGACACCATATCGCATGGCCAAACGCCCCTGAGTTTGGGTAGAAGTATTTGTTTCCAAATATGTTTTTTTTCTATCAAAAATTGACAAGATATTAAATAATTTTGAAATGATAATACGTCCTAAAAAAATAAATATTTGGCAATTCTCCAACAAAATTAGGGAAATTTACATAAATCCCACTAGTTTACGAGTTAATTACTTAGATATACACTTTTGTTTGCAATATTACATATCTTACCAGATTTTGGTGCCTCCAGATACGTATATATACATGTATTTTAGATACATAGGGTCAAATTTAGGTGTAATTTGTTCTAGATAAATTGTATCCAAGTGGATTCGCATGTTCAGGGATACATAACAAATCTCATTTGTCGTTCTCTCATGTACATGGTAGCTTATATACATGTGAATCACATTAGATATATACAGATACATGTATCTAGTGTGATTTACATGTATCTGGGATACATGCAAATCTCGTCATCTCCCTCCCCAATCTCGCTTGCCTCTCCCTATTTGTATGTATCTGATAACAAAAAATATATTTATCTAAGTGTATTTTTCTGCAATATATAATAAGAACTCTTAATTAGTGATAATATACGTAATTACGTATACAATTTTTTCACAAAATTATTAACAGATACTCAAATTTAACAAACTACATAAATCCCACTAGTTTAGGTTATAATTACTAGAATTCATGATAGTTTCAAAAATTACTTCTTGTACCATATTTGTTCCTTTAGATACATGTATCATTACTCGTCAGATACATGTATCCAACAATTTTAAAAATTGGGATACATGTTTAATTAATTCACATGGACAATTAATTAATTATGGAAATATTAATCAAATTCCTTAATATAAATCAAGGAGTGTATATTTGTTTAATTAATTTCATTTTATTACTCTTTATAATAATAAATTCATTAATATTATTAATAAAAGACAAAAACATGTATATCTTGGTTATGAAATTTGATTAATTTCAACTTATTACTCTTAAAATAATAAATTCATTAATTTGATGTATTTATTATCAATATATGATGTGTCCAATAAAATAAACACTTAGATACATCAGTGTACGGTATCTAGTATTAATTCATGTATCTATTTATACGATCTAGTATTAATTTGATGTATCAAGTATTAATTTGATGTATCAAGTATCAATTTCATATGTTATATCCAACAACATGTATCTCGAATACATATTGATAAGGAGATACATTTAATTATTTGTATCTAAATATAAAATGTAACTGAAACACATGAATTTAGGAACAAATCACGATTGTAGAGTATTTGTCTATCATTAATTAAAAAAAAATAATCAAAATTCATACCCAAGAATGATTAGATACATGCATACTTAATAA